AAGAGCAGGGGATGGGACTAGGACAAGTTAAACAGCACAAAACCTGTGGTTCTGAGATTCAGCTGTTTTTTTCTGGAATCGAGATTCCCTCAATTGCTGCAGGTTTTGTTTAATTTCCTGAGTTCTGAAAATGTTGATAGTGGCAGTGTTTACCAGTTTCCTCCTTGCTTTTTTGGGGGAGAGAATTTTCAGGGATCTTTAAGCTGACATTTCCACTGAAGTCATTCACTAAATCATATTCTCTTGAGTATCCTCAGGCCATACTCCATAACTGATTATCCTTGCATGTTTGTAATAGTCACAGTTCAATGTAAATTGTGTCTCAGACGGAAACTCCTTTTTGAGTGTCGTGCATGTTATTAGGTCAAATATGTAAAATTAAACTTAAAAATAGAAGAGAGTGTTATTTTAAGGGGGATTTTCTCAAAATAGTACACTGAATAATATAACTCGGCACCTCTGGCTAATATTGACAACATCCGACAGTTGAATTTAGGTTGTTAGAGTTTTGTTACCTTGTAGTCTTCCTCCAACTCTTAAAAAAAAATTAAAAAGCTTATCATATATGCAATTTTGTAGTGGTAGAGTTTATATATTTAATTTATACATGATTTCTTGCACTTATAAATTTATTTAATTCCTCTTCACAGTCATAAAGAAAGCTATTTTGGAATAAAATTAAATAATTACTTTTGGCCATGTATATTTTATCAAATATTATCTTAATAAGGCTTGTACTTCAGGGAAAAGAAGCATGAACATATCCAGGGATTCCAAGATACTACGTAAAGCTTCTAGTTATTGTAAGTCCACTTTGTATCTTTAAAATACACATAAAATTGCCCATAATGGGGGGCCGGCCCAGTGGTGTAGTGGTTAGGTTCGTGTGCTCTGCTTTGGCGGCCCGGGGTTTGCAGGTTCAGATCCTGGATGGTGGACCTATGTACCACTCATCAAGCCGTGCCATGGCAGGCGTTGCACATATAAAGTAGAGGAAGCGGGGCACAGATGTTAGCCCAGGGCCAATCTTCCTCAGCAAAAAAAAAAAAAAATTGCCCATAATTGCCCAAAGGCTATCTATAGCGGTGAAGAGGGTGTAGCTGATTTTTGTATCCTGTTTTCCCAGAGACCATTCCAAACATATATATCACACGGATGTGTGTGCAGCAAATAGGTCGAGGGGGACTTGTATTCTCATTGAACCTCATTGTACTCCATACCTTCCACACTATAGGGATGGAAGTCTGAGCCTCATGACTGCATTATTGTGGCTTTGGGTTGACGCCACATCTTGAGCTGTGTCTAAGGAGCATGCACATCCTGCAGTTTGCTTGATTACAAGTCGTCCTTTGATTGAGAAAAAACTTCTGTCACCTTGGCCTCCCATCACCTTCTCCTCAAACTTTCCTTGTCACCTCCTGATTCCATCCGTATGCTGCTCCCTCCGCAGGAAACATCCCCTCCCCGACTCCGTTCTCCCCTGGAACAGCCATCACGCAGGCTTCAACCCAGTTACCCTGAATGCATCCTTCAGATGGGCGCTCAGTCAGCACCTCTTCCAGAAAACCTCCCGAGATCTCCCGAACTAGGGCTGTATCCAGGTTGTCTGTTTCATGCATCTCCTATTAGTTGAACTTTTTATTGTGTGGTTATTTTTTGTGCATCTTCCTAATAATAATTAGGATCCATGGAGGCAGAGAATGTGAAGTGCTCACTCACCTGTGCACCTGTAGACACCTCCTTCACCTGGAGAACAGGGCAGAGGTTCTCAGAAGACAGAGCAATGGGGACAGTCCTCTACAGTGGGGAGCATGCAGGATCTGAATCTTCAGTCTGCTCAATGCCCAGCCCTGCCCTTCACACCACGCGACCCAGGGCAGGCTCTCCATCTCTATGAGTTGGTTCTTCATGTCTAAAACAGGAGTAATAGTAATTCCAGTACCACCCTCAAGGGGAATTTGTGTAGAGAGTATTAATCAGGTGAGGTCCTTAGAACGTACCATTCCTTAAATGTTGCTTGGTGGCCTGCTTGTGGATTGGCCCCACATTACCGGGTCACATCCTCTGTGCAAGCCATGACCACTCAGCCGGCATAGACCTCTGCACAGCTCTGAGATCCTCCTTGTGGCCACTCTCGTCGTTGCTGTATCCCAACCTCTGTCATGGGCATTATTTTCTCAGTTCTGTATTGTGTGCCTGCAATTTTTTCTTAAAACACAGATGCCTATAGCTGGATGTGTTTACTGGAATCTAGGAGATATGGAATAAATAGCAACTCTGCAGTGTCACTGCCCTCCTTTCCAGGTTAATCGTACAGTCTCTCAGGTTGCTCTATATTGTATATGATACATGTTAGAGATGGATGTCAAAGAAGAAGTTATCCCACAGAGAGGCTTTATGTTAGCCTCTGGCTGATGACAGTGGGGGATTAACAATCCAGATGGGTTTCTGTTCCTGGGAGGTCTTGTCTACTTCAAGCTCCTCCCATGTGTGTCCTTTGGGGTCCCAAACCAACAACAACCCTCCATGCAGGTACTAGGCTCCAGTTTTTCCTCAACATAGGCCCCAAAATTTGTCAGAATGCGTCCTCAACTTCTCACTCAGTTGCCGTTTCTGGAATTTGTGGCACAAAAATCAGTCCCAAACGACTGGTCACCTCTCTAGATTTCCTACAGCCACTTGTTGGTGCTGTTTTCTTCTGTGCCCTGCCCTCTCTTCTATAGAGTTGTAACCATCATAGGCCAACTCATACTGGCCCTATTGTATCCTGTTCTATCAATACCAGTATTGTATCAAAAGTTGTTTTGCAGGGGCAATGAGCAAAAACTTCAAGTCATGTGGCTGGAGCATGCTCAGAAGATGGAAATCTTGTTCTCAGATGACCTCGAGCTGCCTAGGGACCAAAAGTTCCCTAACTTACAGAACTCAATGTGAAGAGAAAGGGGAATGGGGAACCTCATGAGAAGCAAGGGGTCCTTTGATTTGCAGCACATCAGACTTATAAGAATGTTACAGTCCCACCCTCCAGTCAGATTCTGCCTGGTTAGCATTTTATATAATGACTCCACTCCCAACTCCTCAAAAGTCTGTCACCACTTCAGCTCAGGGAGACAGATCTGAGCCTTGCCCCCTGTCTCCTTGTTGGTCGGCCATGCAATAAAGCTCTCTCTTCTCTCAAAAGCTGATGATGTAGTATTGGCTCCTATGCTCATTGGGCAATGAGCCTTCACTCGGTAACACTATTCAACATTCTCTTCTAACATCTTGTCCAGCTTTGAGCTGTACTCAGTGGGAGGTTTGATACATATTATTTATTTACCATTGCCAGAGTCAGGAAGTTCATTTTCCTTAAATTATGTATTGTATCACTACTTAGGCCAAATGCATTCCTGAGAGACCTTTAATTAATCTCCCCCCACACCTACTCAGTAATGTGAAACTTAGGCACTGTGATACATTATAGAAATTCTATCTATAAGCCTTTGGAACTGTAAGGCTTTCTCCCAGAAATATTGAATACCCGGCTTCCTTCATCTAATTTATAATGGACTAGTAGGCTAATGAAATCAGATAGCTCACCTAGTCACACTATTTCCATTTCTTAGAAAAGCAACAATTTTTTCTAATCAGTAGATTAAGAAGCCTAAGACCAGCATATATTTTTTAAATAACAAGATCCAATTCAATGATTTTAACATGAATAACTTTATTGACTCACGTTTTAAATTCATAAATCTAGGTGTTATTATATAGTGTTATGAATAAATGATATTTGCATCACATTTATAGGAAACATTCAGTTTTTAACAACTACTTTGAATCTGTTCCTTCCAAATTATTTTTACAGATTTATAGAAATGTATTATCATAAATCAAATTCTAGCTTTGAAAAGAACATGTTGCCTTAACTTTCTTTAATCATGGAGCCATCTCTTGTATTACATTTATCATTATTGGCAGTACTGCTAGGCAGAGGTTACCAGATTACAATATATTTTTTAAATGACTTGTTTTATTTCTTATAAGACTGGTTCACATTACAAACCTAAATTGATTAACTAATAATCAAAGGAACTAGATTGTTTTTAAACATACCCCTTCTGGTATATTTGAAGATAATCTATCCTCTCCCAAAAAATACCACTCTATCTAGGAGTATAAGAAAACCAAGTTTCACATATTGTTTCCCGAGTCTATTTAAAGATAGTTTTAACTGGAGAGAAAAAAATGTGTCTGCTTTCAGGAAAAACACAGTAGCTTCATTTAAACAACTTATTCAAGAGTCTTTTCTGATTATGGTACAGCTAATACAACGTTACACTTGAAACATGCACAAGGGAATGAATTAAACAGAAATGCCAATAGAGTTCTTAATTTCCCCTCTTTGTGGAAAAAGTAACAATATCTTTCAATGTTCCTAAGCTGCCAACTTTTAAATCACAAGGCCCTCCTTATTACAGCTCCACCAAAAAATACAATCAAATTGTGACCCCAGTACAAACAATAAACAATACTTCATATAGGTCATTTTGTTCATACAAAATAGTAAATAACACAAATCACAATTTTGCTATTTTTATGTCTTTGCTGTCCTTTAAATACGAAATATTTCACAAATAAAGTATATATCATTTTCCAAGTACAATTTCTTGCTCATAGATGTACTCTCCATGTGACTAATGCCCATCCTTTATAATTAATAGAGCAGCATTGCTTGGAGTGCAAAGCGCGCAGGCACGTTTAATCATTAAGTCATTGTAACACATTTGAAAGGTCAATTCCAAGACCAAACCCTCACTGTCAGTTCTCCCGCCTAGAAAATAGAAGTCCCATGTCAAGTCAGTGATAGTATTGAAAATAGCCTGCATCACTCTGAATCTCCTCCGCGTCCAATCAAGAATGATAAGAATCTAAAACTCTGCGTCTAGGAAAATATTTCAGATGTACAGCTTCAAAAGGAAAAAAATAAATAAATTTCCAAATTGTGGTTTTCAACATCCCAACAGGCTTCCTTCTGTAGGTCAAAGGTAAAAGAGACGGTTTGTCAGGGAATGATGTGGTTCTTGGTGAATGCTCTGGCCCACAAGGTAAGCCAGTTTGTGGGCGTAGTGGCAAGGAGCCGGAACTCGAATGACACCCTTTAGGAGAAACAATAAAAAAAAATTTTTTAACTTTCTATCTACTTTTCCTAAATTTAAATTTTCATAGATATCAATTCTAAGGTTCAGAAAGTATAGATTCGATTTTGAACAATTTTACAGATCTGAAGGGAAACCAGTACCAAAAAATACTTACTGGCAAATTATAATACATGTGACAGAGTCTGTAAGTCAGACCCTGGACGGTGTCCGGGCTCAAGTGAACAGTGTCGTGGATGACGTTATAATGAGTGGGAGTGACAGTACCCTCCTTCACAGACTGACTCACAATAAAAAAATCGTACCTGGAATTATAGAACATGTGGGTATCAGCTTATTTTAAAAAAAGAATGTAGCAAACCTGGTATCTGAAGTGACGTTAATTTCCAGAAATCCATTCTACAGACAGAGTTTCCTTTACATGTAGAAGCCTGGCTAACTGTCAAGCAATGACTCGATAAAGCAAATCTCCCAGGACAATAATTGACACAAGTAATAACTCTCAGGGGATTTAGACTCACAAGCATATGTACTAGGATAGAGACAGAAACATAAAATTGACACATTTGATATGGTCATAGGTAACTCGATTCAGAGATCCAGGGATGGACACTTCCTGAGTCTCCCTGAGAATCACCAGAATATATTCAAACTCTCTAAATGATACAACTGGTAAAGTTAATCAATTTATTGTAAATATTGAGTTTATTTTTATGTGTATCATCTTAAACATAAGATGCTTTATGTGTATCATATTTTTCATTTGCTATTTTCTTTAATCCTTTCCTGCCTTCTACTAGATTGATCACTGTCTTTCTTTAATTTTACTTCATTTCTCACTAATTGGTATGAATGTCATGCTTTATTTCCTACTGTGGTTTGGCATAATTTTCTCATTTGCCTAATTGACTTGACAAGTCTCAAGTTAACCAGAAGCTCTACTATTCTTCCTAACAACTGAAGAATCTTAGACTGATATGTATATTTACAGTATATTTTTAAAATTCTAGGAGAAGAAAATGATTGAAGATGGAAAAATCTATAATCCAATGTATCTATTCATATAATTTTTAACTTCCCTTAGGTCAATTCTTCCTTTCTCCTCCAAATCACACAAACCTTAAAAAATTCTGTTACTATTTGAATAAAAGGGAATCTTTACAATAAATAAATAAAGATGGTTTACCATTCCTTCCTGGTCAACTCCACATCAATGACTGTTCCTGGACGTGGATTTTGAAATTTTCCTTCAGACTCAATAAAAAATCTGGTGTTTATTCGTTTCTTCACCACAATGACTGTCAGTTTGACACTGAAAAAATTATAATGAGTGTCACTACATTAGTGGTATCTCGGAGCATTTGGAGTGTTGAAACACCACATACATAGGATCTGTTCAAAAGAATCTGCAAATTGCAGTTCTCCACACATCATGACTTTACTGTCTTAGTGCCTGATTCAAGCAGCAGAGGAGGAGGTTTCCAGCCACCTATATCCTAGGGGAAGGGTCCCTTCCTCACAAGGTCAAGATCACTTCTACTATCAATGCTGGGCACCAGGCTACATTGACAAACAGCTGAGGCCAGAGGAGGCAGCTGGGAGGGACCCCCAGCCTTGGGAACTACAAAACTCCAGGATAAAGGAGTTGGACGAGTACAAACCATTGACAGGCTATGTTCACGGATTTTAATGAACATCTGACATTAGCAAGCCCTTCAAGGCTTGAAGAGAGATTAGAAAAAGAGCAATATTCATAGGGGTTCCATGGGGGAAATTTTTCTGTTGCAGTGTTACAATTGTACTCTGTCCTCTGACGTGGGCATGGAGCACTCTGTCCTCTGACGTGGGCATGGAGCACTCTATCCTCTGACGTGGGCATGGAGCACTCTATCCTCTGACGTGGGCATGGAGTACAAAGTGAAAGGGTGAAGGGTCTACTTTCTCCCCACCCATCAACCAAAGCCCTCTGTTCTTCTCAAGCTCTTTCTCTCTCATAATTCACACACCAAAATTGTTCCAGATTTTTTTTTCAAAGACTGAAATGCAGAGCTTACAAGATCTGCACTTTACAATTAATATACCTACGTCTTTGGATGCAAAATACTGTTTAAGTACGACGAAATCTGTGGTATTTCATAATTAATCAATGCTTCAAGCTGACCATCTCCCACGCCATCCCGATATACAATAACAGAATGTGGCATAAATGGATTATGTTCACGCCAGAGCTTCAGAGCAGCTAAAAGGAAGCCAGAAACACGTGTAAATAAACCGTAACTTGGAACAAACTGGCCACTGCTATTTTTGACAACTTCTAGGTTCATTTTTCAATATTTTAGCTTTCAGGACAATTGCACTGCTTAAGTCCTCAGTCTAGTCCAGCATTTCTCAACATCAGTACTGAAATTTTGAGCCAGGTATTTCTTTGTGGTGGTGGGGGTGGGGCTGTTGCTCTCTTATGCATGGTAAGATATTTAGCAGCATCCCTGGCCTCTACCCACCAGACTAGACACCAGCAGCACCTCCACTCCAGTTGTGACAACCAAAAGTGTCTTCAGTCATTGCCAAATGTCCCCTGGGGGACAGTAGGTCCACTGGTGGAGAACTAATGGTATAGAGTCAAGTGCTCCAGCCTCTACCAGACACTAACCTTGCAAGCAGGCCCTCAGCCCATTCACAAGCTCCTGCCCCGATTCCTGGAAGATACATTGAGAGAACCACCTGTTTGGAGAAAAACAAGCCATCAGTTTGGAAAACAAGATTCTCAAAATTTCATCCTTTTGATTCTGAATTAATCTATGACCAAAAAATATCACAATCAGTAGCTGAGGATCCAATTAAGGATCCATTCGTTCATTCTCCTGCAGACATCAAAGTATTCGTCTCTTCTGATATCTTAGGCATTTAAGAAAATTTTGAATGCACACAAATAGTAATATAGAGTGAAAGCATTCATTAACATTACTACAAATTATACACACTTTCAATATGCATGACTCCTGTCATTTCACTTACTGAGGAACACCAAAAATGAAAACCCAGTGTTCCTGGAGATTCCCACTTCTAGGCCAATGTCTTAAACGATGGCTCATCTATAATAATCTGCTTTGAGGGAACAGTGTTTTTTGGAACAGTAATAGCTATTGCGACCGCTTCTCAACATACCAAGTAAAATTACATATTTGTCTCAAATTTCTATCCTCTTACTGTGTTTTTATTTACTTCAGAGTATTATGATGACCTGACTTGATGTGATGTATTTATTTGCCTGGCTCTTCACCAGAATTTACCCTCCACGGGACAAGGTCAGGCATTTTGGCTCTACATTATCACTGCTGCATTCTCAGCATTTGAACACAGCAAGCGCTCAAACATATCTGTTGAATGAATGAAAGCATAGTTTTTCCCTATTATCGCAACATTATTTTCTAATTCCCCACCCCCCCCAAAAGCAGAGCAAAACTGTGTTACTGTATTGAAATAGAGTATCACTAGAAAAATGATGCCATCTGTGAAAATAAAGATGGGTCTTCCTTAAAGAATACTCTGGAATTATACCTAGTAGGCCACAGACATCATTCAACAGAGTGGTGATTTGTGACGGTCACACATAAGGAACTATGAACTGAGGAGTGAGCACACCCATTTGAAGGTGCACTGTGGTTTCTGCTCTAAGCACAGAAAACAAAAAGAGAAGCATTTCTCCTGGAGAAAAGGAGAAGCATTGGATTTAGAAGCATATCATCTCTTGCAGGTGCATTATATATAAATGTATGAAGGCAAGACTATCCCTACAGGCCACTGGTTGCGTTCCCATGTCTGTCTCCACCCAAGTATGTCCTAAGTGCTTCCCACGTGTCAATGATCCTCATGCAGAGACTCACTGATCAGAGCCCATGGTAGCAGAATTCTCCCTGTCCTGATCCCTGGAAGCTGTGACTATAGTGAGCTATCACCTCTGTGATTATGTTATATGACAGTTGACTTTAGTAGAGCCTCATCTAATCTCATGAGGACTTTTAAAAGCAGAGAGTTTTCTAGACTTTGTGTGATGAACACGATGCAGTCTATACAGAAGCCAAAATATGATGTACACCGGAAATTTACATAAGGTTATAAACCAAGATGAACTCAAGAAAAGAAATTTAAAAAAAAAAAGAATCTATCTTTCTAGAACATGGCAGTTGACTATTAGCTAAGGGGTAAGCTTTTTAAAATTAAAATTTTAACTAGAAATTGAATATGTTATAAAAATGTCAACAAATATCAGTGAGGTCCACCTCTCCTATTCGGTGTGCAGATAGCTACCCAGCAACCAATGTCTTCCAAAGTCTACTCACTGCGTTAACTCATTGTTGATGCTTGACACAAATCCTGCAATTGACTTCTGTCGATTTACAATATCATGGAAACAATCAATACCAATGAACATTGTATTCTGCAACTGAAAGTTTTAAAAAGGTAGTGAATTGAGTTAGGACAGAATACAAGCACAATTTAACAATTACATTTTTAAAATAGTTAAATAGAATCTTAAATTCCACTAAACACAAATGAAATAAAGAAAAGGCAACAAAATCCAACATACTCCTGTTTCCACCTTCCAGAGGGCTCCTCCCATCTTGCAATTCATCTGCTGGGCAATCTTTGTGGCAATGGTCATCAGCGTCTGGGGTTTGTCTAAGGTCCGTGCCACCACACATTGGCTTGGAATGGGGTAATTGACACACAGGAATTTTTTTATGCCATCATACATGTCTTTCCTGTCACTTGACAGCACACAAAGAACCTTGAAAGAAAGCAAACATGAAATTCCCCAAGATGCAATAACACAGTGTTGTGAGAAAGGGACACCACATCAAGGAAGCTATTTGGGGGGGGGGGGCACTGACAAAATAGAGTCTGTTTATTAAATAAATAGCTGAATCCATGAGGGTGAAGGGTCTAGAATCACATTCAACAATTTGAGGGTGAGTGTGGAAGAAACTGGCCATAGGACAGGCATTTGTCATTATGCATCAATCACTTAAACTTGCAAAATCATTTAGTCCTAGTTATTCAGTTTCCAGGAGTTTATCATGAAGTTGATAAGGATGGATTAAAAACGTAGACTGAAATATACTATAATCAGGACAATCACCATTTACAGGATGATCACAATGTGTGAGGCATTTGCCAAGCGTTTTACTTGACTCAGTTAATTCTTTCATCAACAACCTACTGAGATAAATACTATAATCGCCATTTTACCCCTGAGCAAACAAGCTTGGAAGTTATGGAAACTGTCTGATTTACAAACAGCAGAGCAAGGTTTCAAACATTCCCTAGGACCCCCAGTAGGAGCTGAGGGTTAGGAAGAGAGGTTACTGCTTGACTTATTTCTGACTATAATGGGAAAGTCAACAATATATTATTATTTTTTGTGTGTGTGTGTGAGAAGATCAGCCATATGTTAACATCTGCCAATCCTCCTCTTTTTGCTGAGGAAGACTGGCCCTGGGCGAACATCCGTGCCCATCTTCCTCCACTTTGTATGGCACGCCGCCACAGCATGGCTTGCCAAGCAGTGCATTGGTGTGCGCCCAGGATCCGAACCAGCGAACCCCGGACCACCGCAGCGGAGCGCACGCATTTAACTGCTTGCGCCACCGGGCCGGCCCCAACAATATATTATTTTTGACATGATGATGTTTGTAGGAAGTTTTTGGCAAACATCCTTGACCAGATTAGGGAAAGTCTTTCCTCACTCTAGATTGAGTTTCTCTTTTCCCATGAAAGTGTGTGGAATTTTATTAAATGCATTACCTTCATTGTTTAAGAGAAATATTTTCCCCTATAATTCAACAAACTAACCAGTTAGCATTTAATATATTTTTAAAAACTATATTTCAAATTTTTAAATTTACTGGCACACCCTAGTCTATGGTGTTCTCGCAATATTTCTTTAACCTCTAGCGAGTCTGTAATAATGAATGCTACTTGTTCCTAATGTTTTAAGCCTTACTTTTTCCTTCACTCTTGACAATACCAAACTTTAATATTTTCAGCTTTAGATTTGTTGGCTGTTCTTTACTTAGTTTCTGCTTTTTATTTTTTGTTTCATTCTACTTTATTTTGGTTTACTCTGTTCTTGTGCATTAAAATTCAGACTTCATTCCCAGCGCATCCATTAAGGGCTGTGGGTGCCCTCATTATCAGTGTGCTGTTTCACACAGGTGTTTTTGTTTTGTTTTGTTTTTGTTTATTGCAGTAACATTGGTTTATAACATTGTATAAATTTCAGGTGTACATCATTGTACTTCTATTTCTGCATGGATTACATCATGTTCTCATGGTCACCACCTAAATACTAATTACAATCCATCACCACACACGTGTGCCTAATTATCCATTTTAATGATTTCTAATTATAATGTACCGTGGTCAATGTGTGTGGTCGATAGGATACTGATTCTTCACTATTTGCCCAGGATTTCTCCAAGCCCATTGTGATCAGTTAAAGACAAAGACAAAACAAAATGACAGATATGCTTTAAAAAAGCACCTAATCTTTTAGGTACAGATTACACACACACACACACACACACACACACCCCTCTCTCTCTCTCTCTCTCTCTCTATATATATATATATACACATATACATACATACATATATATACACATACATACATATATATACACATACATACATATATACACACATACATATATATACACACATACATATATACACACATACATATATATATACATACATATATATATGTGTATGTATTAGTAGTTTAGCAGGTCAAGCTTTTAAATACGAGTTTAAAATCTTCTAGATTCTAATTTGTTTTATCTGCTGATCTCTGAGTTTCCTGACAGTGGTCAGCTACCATTGCCTCCTAAAATGTCAGCTTCCAGAATAGCACGGGCCTGTCTCCTCCTGAGAAGAGCTATTCGGGCTGATGAAAATATGGGGGCATGCCTGTTTAAGGCTCAGCCAGTTTAACAAGGCAATAAAGAATTATAGGGTTGAGACAGGAGAGAAGTAGGGACCCTGAGAAACGATCCCAGCAATTGAGGCTGCATTCTCCCACGGTCCGCCCATCTTGGTAGACACGGCTGAAAGGCTAGGAGGCTATGAGAAGACTGACAGCCTCAGAGAGGGAGAAAGACAGAAACTGAAGATCAGATTCTGCCAAGGAAAGGGTACTTGAGTTAAATTTTGAGTGTCTAGCACTCAAAACTAATGAGATTAGATTTATAACACTAAGTGTTAAGGAAGACAGGAAGCTACAGGAACGCTCAGGCTGATGGAGGATGTGTACATTGGTACAACTATTTTGGGAAACTTATTAGTAGCATCTAATGACACGGAACATTCCACTCCCAGGTAAATCCCCAACAGAAATACATATATATGCGCACAAAAGACATGTACAAAAGTATCCATACAGTACTATAAGTAATAGCAAAACTAGAAACATCCCAAATGTTCATCAATAGAGTGAATTAAGTTAAAAACAATGGAATGCTATATAGAAAAAGAGAACAAATAAACTACAGCTATACTCAACAAAGATGAACCTGAAGCTTGAGCAAAAGAAAACAGATGCAAAAGACTATGTAATGTATGACTCTTTTTAGGTAAAGTTCAAAAACAGGCAACACTAAACTATGGTGATAGAAGTTGGGGTAGTAGTTGTATTTGCAGGACAGTGAGTGTGAAGGAGACAAAGTGAGCATCAAATGACAGTAAAAGATAATAAACCATTAAATAAGAATCCATGAGTCCATGTTTACATAAGTACATAAATAGAGAAGAATGAAAATGTCTTCCTTACAATAGAATACCAACTAATAAACATGGAAGCAATGTTGAAAGCATAAAAATCACCACTTAGTGAGCACCATAATAATAACTATTTCCAGCTAGAATCATCAATGGATGCTAAAATGAGTGAGTGAAACTTCAATGAGTGAAACTTCAATGAGAAACAGGAAAATTGCATGTCTCCAAGTGTCTTCCCACTATAAATTTATCAATTACAAAGGGGAAAAAACAGTAACTTTAAAATGGTGAAACCTACCAGACCTCACCTTAATCAAATGATCAAACCTAAAATCACCAGTTAAATCAACATCATGTGCTTCCGGATATGATGGACTGAGAACATGGCATTACTTTTGTGGTATTCTGCAAGAATGTGTGACCTGAATCGAATCATGAGGGAACGGGCAAACCCATAGTGAGGATTGTTCTATGAAATAATTGGCCAGAGCACTTCCAAAATGTCAAGGCCATAAAACACAAAGAAAGACTGAAGAAATTTTCCAGATTAAAAGACTTAAAAAAGTGTCTATTAGATGCCTCAGGTGACCCTAGATTGATCAGACAAATAGTTTATTTTGCTATAAAGGAGATGATTGGTAGAATTTGAATTAGGTGTATAGATTAGATAAATGGCTCAGGAAAATACACACACACTATAACTATTGTGTGTGTGGACACATATGGACACACATATATAAGGAGAGGGAAAGAATAATTATGCAGATAGATATATATAAATACGTAGCTAGATAGATGGAAAGAAGAAAGAGAATGATTATATGAATGTAGTAAAATTTAATATTTGGGAAATCTTGATGATGGTTATAGATAGATTTATACTATCTTTGCAACTCTTCCTATAAGTCTGAAATTATATTAAAATATAAAGTTAAAAGAAATAAAAGTTTTAAATATTCAGGAAAACATAAATTGGAAGTTTTGGATTGGATTGATGTGTAATCATTATTTAAAAAAGAAAAACTGAGATTCTCTATTTAAAATAAGGGGGACCACGTTCCCAGTTGGCATTTTCACTGCAAATGTCTGATTTTCAGGAATTAATATTATTTGTGAGATGACTGTATTTCATTTTTTATTCTTTTTAGCCTTAAACTATTAACACAATACTAGATTTGTTTTCCTTTCTGTAAAAAAAAAAGACAAAACAAAACCTATAGCTTGAATATATTTTTATTTCTTCTACTTCTGCCTTACTCCTCTAACTCATACATTTATAGGATTTTAATTCTTTATTATTCAAACACTTGTGCTATCTCATCATGACTTGTTTAAAATAGTCATCTACAAGCTGTTGTCTGCATACACCATAAGGAAAATATATTCCCAAACTATATGAGTACTTATGAATTACTGGTAGTGTTACCATCAGTTTGGATTACATATTAGTGAAGTTAACATTTTATTTTAGATATCATATAAATGTGGCTTGATGTCTTCTTATCACATTCAATGGATTATCTTATACAGCCTGGTTCTGGTCTCCCACCAATGCCACACAGCCTTTGAAATTTGTGAGCCACATTGCTTCACCCCTACTTACATACATGAATCCCCCTCTGTGAAAATCTGTGGAGATTTCCATTTGTACTTAAAGACAATTTTGCACATAATTTTCAGTCCCTATTTTATTGGTCATTCCCAGTTGTTTGGGGTACATAAGAAGATTGTAGGCGGCATGCTCCCTCCACCATGTGACATAACACCACCACCATCTGACAAAATATTTAAGGGTAAAAGAAGATATTGTTCCAAAAAGCAAAACTAGGATAAATGAGTAAAAGGGAGATAAGTTCCCATCCATGAGATAAAGGTCTTCTTTTTTTCAAGAAATTCCCACAAATAAAAAGGCAATCTTTAGCTTTTCAGGCAGATGCTAAATGAGCAAAGAGATTCCTTTTATGAGAATGAGATGGGATTCAAACAACTACCAAGGCTCCATCAACTCCGATTCTAACATACTATAACGTGACACTTTGCTGATTCCCAATGGATGCTTCCCTGATCTAGCTGAGCATTTAAGGCCACAACACTGGAGAAGAACGAAACATAGTACTCAATAAAGTAACAGGAAGCAAGACACAAAATTTAAGTACAATAGGCTTTCAAAAGTAAGATGTTTCATTTGAGATGGAGTATGGCTCATACAAAGTATCCTTCAGAGCAGCCTAAAAGGCTCCTTAGTGGAAACTAAAAAGCAAGAAAAGTCTAGCCTTTATGTAAAAGACAATAGGAGAAACATCCTGGTTTCATGATCAAGAAACAAAGATCCCTTTAAAGATCATCCTGGAGGAAGAAGGGAAGAATGCAAGATGAATTAGGAAAAAGAATCCAAATAAAGAAGAAAAAGTAAGTCGCTTTAGTAATTCAGATACAACATAATTTAGTCTAAGACATTAGATGGGAGAAATGAAAGGAAAAATCCTAAGAAAAATACCGAGCAAAGGGAAGAACATGTGCTGAAAGAGACAGATCAGACATTTTGCAGGTTACAACCAGAGAGAGAAATGATGAATGCGATGATTACCATAATCCGTATTACTTTACATTTGTATGGTGTTTCAGTTTATGAGACTTTAAAAAAAAAAATAATTCCAAGTCCTCAAGCCTGAAAGAATTAGCATAACAAGGTGATATTAAGTAGTACCTAAAACGCAAAAGTCGGTATTCAGCCCCACGATAGGGGTAAATTTGTATTTGTTGGCTAGTTTAGGAAACCAGTGGCAACATTCCAAATTCTAAGATACACACAAATGCAGTTTTAGAACAATCACTAAAGATTGGGCACATATCAAATAGACTTACCATCTGTGTTTTTGAGGAAGCGTGTTTTTCTAAGACATTTATATAGGATTTGACTGTATCATTTACTTCAAGCCTAGAAAATAAGTATATCATCTATATTCAAAGGTAATGTACAATGAAACATAACATTTTATACAGTCTATGAAACCTGATATAAAACAAGTCAAGATAAAATGCCAAGATGGGCATTTCAGTTGCAATTTTGTTTTTAAAACAAAAAAAGTTCATATTTTGGAAAAACGTCTTAGAACGAGTTCTTAATACCCCCTCATCCACTCATATCAAGTTGCCAATTCTCATGTCTTCCTCAACACGTATCCTAATAGCCACAAACCATATATCACAAAAGCCGGTTTTAATATCTGTTGACTGGAGATTAGACTTTTTTTTTTTTGTTTACAAACTTTCAGAGTTTTGATAAAGTGACTGATTTCTGCAATTTAATATTTTCAGTTATTCCACTTTCAGATCGCTAACAACTGATTTTAAATCGGAAGTAATTTCTGCTCTACTTACATTTTTGCGTCTCTCATCGCTATGCCCATGGTGGGTGTGACTTTCCGTAGACACTGCATTAACGAAGAGGCTGCTCCGTAATTTCTCTTAGTATAAAGTATTAGCCAATGATCTAGTGACTTCACCTTAAGTAAGGGTCCCTTTCTTGTTTCTTTTGACCATTCTGCAAATAGTGGATGGGAGTTAAACTGGAAAAGAATTCCAAGACATGGTATAAAACCTCATTAAAAAAAAAATCACCTAAGATCCTTTCCAATGTAAATCTGTGCTATTTCCTGTTGAAATATTACAATTTTAAACTTTAATCAGGACTGAACTAGATATTTTTCCTGAAGATATAGGTTAGTAACACTGGAATTCTATCATGGGTTACTCTGGATCATTTTGATTTTAGGTATTTGACCCTTAAGGGTACATTTGGAAGATCATTTTGCCATGAGAAAATGTCCACAATACTAAGAGACAAAGATATGGGACAGAATTTACTGTATGCCAAGAACTTTCCATGCATTCTTTTTGAATATTTGCTTGTCCTCCCATATAAAGAACAGGGAGTCTGAGAAGAGAGAGTAGCTACAGTTATTGACATGACTAAGTTAGTTCCCCCTTGTGTTATTATGCATTTGACCCCACTAGGACCTGACAGTTTTGAAACTGTCTTACCATTCTTCTTCCTTGGAAAATTCTGACTTCTTTCAAAAGTCTTCCTGAGAAGGACAAAAAGTTGGTATCAAATGTCAAATCCCAGAGTTGAAGCTCCTTTTGTGCAGACTCATCTCTAAAAGTTAAAATATTTCCATGTGATCAAACCAAAGAAAATAAGCGAAAACAACTATTCATTTGCAAAACACAGGGCAAGTTTCCTCTCATGTAAGGTTCCTTATTGCTTGTCCTCAGTTAGGATGCTACAGACAAACTCCCTAAAACTCTGAAATAACCTTGTCTTTGCTCTCACATTTGTGTGGGCGCTAGAGTCTTCCATTTCATTCTTCTCCCTCTAGGCCTCCCCTACCATTGCAATGACAGAAAAAATAGAATTGTCCCCCCAAATCTCATTTTCTTCCCAACTGTCATTTTTTAATTGAGGAATCTGAGATGCCAAGGGATGGATCTATCTGCACAGGTCTCAAATTCAGTTCACACACACAGAGCCAGAAAAGTAGTACTTACTTTTGTACAGTATTCATGAATTTTTGCAATTCGTGCTGCCTTTTTTCTGGATCCAACCTCATGTGAACAGCCAAGTCTCTCATCACCCTGTAGTCTTGACGCATTGCATCTGTTAGACCTTGAACAGAAATCCAAAAGACATAGCTGAACAAGCAAGAATAGCCTTCTACTAGAGAAGACTTAACTGTTGTATCTGGAAGAGGAATAACGCACAGAGAGGACGCGGCTCTGGGTCATATGGAGTGTTGTGAAAATCCCGCACTTCCACATCATAACATCTGTGATGTTAAAGAGGCGTTGTCTTCTGTGAAGATGGCATAAATCCACCCTACCTGTCAGGCTGCAGAGCTCAGGAACCAGCAGCACAGGTTCATGGGGTGTGTCCTGTTGGCTCTTTTTCCATTTTCCCTTGCTGATCAAAAGTGGCTGAGTTAGGTCAGTGACCTGTGTGTCATATTGCTGCTCAACAGAAGCAAGAAGGAACATTGGCATGATTACCAGCAAAACCTTAGTAACAACGCATAAGGAGGCACAAATGTGCATTTTTGGATCATAAATGGAGGCCCAGGGGTGTGCTGGCAATATTGCTTCCCCAAGCTTAAAAGCACATTAAAATACTCTTAACATTCTCTTAATTTAGATGTCCCAGGGACCACATCCCACCCACCCCCCCAGCTGAGGAAGATTTGCCCTAAGCTAACATCTGTTGCCAATCTTCCTCTATTTTGTATGTGGGTCACGGCCACAGCATGGCCACTGATGAGTGATGTAGGTCCGGGTCCAGGAACTGAACCTGGGCCACCGAAGCGGAGCACGCCAAACTTCACCACTAGGCCACTGGGGCTGCCCCCACATCTTTTTGCCTATAAACATACATGGCCGAGGAAAGAAGGACTCCCACAAATGTTAAATTGGAGTCACTGGATTCCCAGACTAATGGGGGACAATAAGACCTAGCCACTTTCTAAAGCTGCAATTTCAGATCTATTCTCAACCTCCTCCTGCTGTTTTCCCTAAGCTCTTAGCCCCTGCTTCCAGTGGAAAAAGGCATTTTTCAAAGACACCATATGCAGAAGTTCCAACCCCTATGCTGTAATTCTTGTACAACAAAGTGCCTTTACCCTCCACCACAAAGTGGTTCCTTCATAGATCCTCCTATGCTGCTTATTAGCAAGGTCCTCGCCAATAGTTTAGCCACATGAATTCTGGTATCAACTGTCTTTTAAACATCTTGGGAACCTCAAAGGAGTTCCAACCTTAGACAAGAAGACTTCAAATCCAGTCTTCACAGCTCTTTTCTTCTTGGGCTGGGCTACTCCTTTCAATTCCCATGAAGTTGTTGCAGATGACACATTTTTTTTCCTTCAAGTGGTCTGTAGTTATTTGAAAGGCAGCTGGGATTCACCCCCATTCCCCTGGATATACATGCATGTAGAATCGTGGCATCATATGAGGCCCCCTCAACCACTCCTACCACCCAATTTATCAAAGCTTTGGAGGTGTTAGTCTTTCCGTAGAGAAGTTTAGAAATCACACTTCCTATCTGTTACAGCTTTTATGAAATATCCTAGAAGGATCTTTTGTTACACCTACTTTTGCATCTAAAAATCAGTTCTGTTGTTCCTATTTGCATTATTATTAAACTTCTTTTGAAAGCCATTGTAATTCCCTTCCAATGGCTCATCTATGAATTCAGTGATTTTTCCAGATCTCATGACAACACTAAAACTAAATTGTCATCTCTTATTAGACTGAGTTCCCACCACGGCAACCCGAGACTACAGTAGTCATTTCAAATATTTCAGCCCATCCGTTTTACTCAAGTAAATCTGCTGAGAACATTTCCTTATATTTCATTTACATCCCAAATTACCAACACATGCCAAAAAGGTAGCTTGCCTTAACGCGTCAAATTCTCTCTCAAATTATTCCTAAACCCACCACTCTGTGATGACAGGCATGAATTAACTATTACAACCTATATGTGCCAGTTGGGATATAAGACACAAGAGATATTACAAAGAGCAAAACCAACACTGTCCCGTCCCCATGAAACTCACAGTCTATTGGGAGGGGAGAGATTAACAAAATTATCACCCAAATATATAATTACAACTTGGGATAAATGTTATGAAATACAAATGCATAACAGAATAGGGTGACCTCACAGAGGCCTGAGGTTACAGGATGGTGTTTGTTGGGGGGGGTGAGCTGTTGTTGGGATATCCAGAATAGCTCTTCTTAATCAATGACCTTTGAGATGAAATTTGTAGAATGAACAAGCAAATATCAGCCTAGGCAGAGGAATCGGCACATGTAATTTAGGAGGAAGGAGGTCTTTATCTCCCTCACATCCTCATCACCGTCACTTCCCCATCTTACATTCCACAGCCTCACGATCACTCCCTCATAAATGCCATTGACTCCTTCACTATGTTATGCCTTCATCATACTATGTTGGCAAGCTCTAACCGTGGTAAAACCCAGCTGTCTGTTCTGTGCACATAACCACCAACTGAACCCTGCTGATTGCTTCTACAGTTAGTCTTTGCCACCATCTAAAAGGGCACTCTATTCAAATTCCCTAGCTATGTTCCTTACCCATTCAAAAACCAACATCTCATACTTTCTCATCTCTTCTCAAACACACAGCCCCAACCAACACAGCCAACGGTCTTGCTTCCTACTTCAATGAGAAATATGAAGATTCAGACAGGAATCCACTAACATTCTGCCCACCATTTGCTTTCCTCCTTGTATACATAGGCTCTGCTTGCCCTGATTTCTGTGGAGGGTATGTCCTGCTCCAGAGAAAAGTCAGTCCCTCTACCTGAGCTCTGGATTCTAACCTTTTCTCACCTTCAGGGATTTTGTTCCTATTATCAGCTCTTGTCTCTCTTACATTCTATATTATCAGCTTCTCCCTCTCTACTGGATGATTTCCATTGAGATAAAAACATATTATTGTCTAATTTTAAAAAACCATCCTCCATCTACCATACCATTTCTCCTCTCTTCTTTTGTAGCAAATATTGCTACATTTTTTTATTCAGTGCCTTCCACTTGGACTTTGATTCCCACCATTACACAATCTGTTCTTGGCGATGAACTCCATGCTATCAAACCCAACACTCTTTTCACGGTATATCTTTTTTCCTCCAGCCTCATTGGGGTACAATTGGTATGCAAAAATCTGCACATAATTAATGCATATAATTTGGTGAGCTTGGACATATGTATACAGTCTTATTTAACCTCATTATTCTATGGAGATGCATATCCTTCCTCTTTTTTGAAATACTTTATTCTCTTGTTTATCTACATACTCTGCCTAGGTGACTGCGGATCAAAATCCAAGGACCAGAGAATTGCTAATGACTCCCAAAACTAAATCTCCAGGCTTCCTATCCCCCTGAACTCCAGATTCATTGACATGCCAAAACAGCATGCTTTATTTGCCACTTTGGGCAGAGAAAATGCTGTGAACTCACCACATTATTTCTACCTTGCTCTACACGAAAGAGGAGAGCCTTCTTCTTAGCTTTCACTTAGCTAGGGTCAGCCTACAGGACTGAATTTTGACAAATAGAAGTGTGAGTAGAAGTGGTGCACCAGCCTATCACTTCCAATCCAAGGGCCCTAAGAGCCATTGTGTTTCTTCCACTTTTTTCCTCAAACTCAACTTAAACCTTGGAGTCTACTTGTTGAGATAGTAGAGCCACAAAATGGTAACAGACTGGATCACGGAGTCATCCCATGGAAGAGAGCTTCCCGGAGACTTACTTGACTCTCATTAGTCTTTATTCAAGCCCGAAATAAGTCTTTGATTTATTAACTTACTGATATTTCAGTTTGCTACTCCATCAGAGCCAATCTCATCCCCAAACACTCCCCAAACCAGTCCCTCCCATAGAGTGCCCCATTGCAGTAAATGACATCATCATCCACACACTTCCTCAGATAAAGCCAAAGGGTTAGGCTGCAGGTACCTCTCTCCATCACCCACTACAACCAAGCCATCAATAAGTCCTGCCCATTTTCAACTACTTCTCCCCCTCTAATCCAGGCCACCATCATCATTTACCTCAACCGATTTAATAACCTCCTCGTTGGTCTCCCTGCCTCCATTTTTACCCCCATACAGCCCATTCTCTGTACATCAGACAAAATAATCTTTAAAATGAAACAGTACATCACTTCATTCATCTACATAATACCATTTGACAATAATATCCAGTTGACTTCTCTAGAGAACCACTAGCCTCGTTTGGGATCTGGATACATCGTGCCCATCCTGAAAATGGTGCCTTTGCACTGTCTCTTCTCTTCTCCCGGATCTGCACACAGCTTGCTCCTTTCTGACATTCACATTTCAGCTTCTCAGAGAAGATTCCATGACTACCCAGTCTAAGTAGCCACCAGAGACTCTCCATAATACCCCTCAATTTTAATTATCTGCATATCCCTTACAACTATCAGAATAGTTTTCCTCCTGTTTGCCATCTCTCTGCCTCCCATGAGAACACAAATTCCTTGAGAGCAGAGAACTCAATCGTCTTACCAATGTTTACCCAAGATATATAACAGGAACTCACTAAATGCCTTTTGGATTGAATGAACAAGCACTATGTATGAAGCACAAATGGGGATAATGTCAGAATAGAACCATCCCCTTGAAGGGATGTCAGAGGGCTGTGTACCCTCAATGGTTCCAAGTAGCTATGTTTTGGGTTTTCGTATAAAAACACAAGCTGTTTTTTAAAAACCACCCATTTATAAGTGCTTTCCATTTGCTACAAATATCTGCAATTCCTTTAATTATCTTTCTATCATCTGCCAAAGCTAGAAAACCTACCTGATCAACTGGTGTATCTTAATTGGCTAAGCTAAGTTTACTTATGTCTTTGTGAACACTCAAATTAAAGATTGAGGAATCCATGAATTATGAGATTTAGCATATAACTGACAACATTTCAGGTAGTAATTGGCCATTTTTTTCTTCCTTTTGAATTAAGTTCTATAGGGCTGCAACTTCTACGTAAGTAAAGTTTTCATATCTGAAGTCTTACCATATTTTTTTTCTCCCTAACAATCCATCTACGTGTTTAAAACTACCATAGCCACTTCTATGACTGACAGGAGGGGCCATATTGGAGCATCCTAATAATGTGACATTATGCTATACACAAGGCACTTAAATACATGGATAATAGACATAAGGCAAGCTATAATACCCCAAGGGAGAATATAAATATATATATATATATTTCATATATATATAAGTCATATATATATATATGACTTAAGAGAAATATTTAACTATATAGTATGAAAAAATTTTAAGATTTAAATATATTTAAAGAAATAAAATTTCATACCTGCTTGTAATATTCTACAAAGGTGATTCTCTTGCCATCTGATTTTTTAAACGTAGCTTTAGGAGTCTCCTCCCAATTAATAGCATCCACCCTGTAGGTTCTGTTGTTGTGCCTGTGGAATAATCGCAATATATGGTATTATTCCTGATTTATTTGCTGCATGTAACTATGCAAGAAATAAGGAGTTTTAAATCCTACAAGTAATTGCAGGATCTATCAGCTTCATCAAGATTAATTCACATAACATACAATTCACCCACTTAAGTGTACAATCCAATGGTTTTTAGTATATTCACAGAGTTGTGCAACCATCAACACAATCAATTCTAGAATATTTTCATCACCCAAAAAAGAAACACCATAACCATGAGCATCACTCGCCATTTTCACCCAACTCCCTCAGCCCTTAGGCAACCACTAGTTTACTTTCTGTCCCTACACATTTGCCTACCTGTCACACTTTACATAAATTATACAATATGAGATCTTTCCTGACTAGCTTCTTTCACTTAGCGCAATGTTTTCAAGGTTCCTCCATGCTGTAGCATGTTTTGGTACTTAATTCCTTTTTATTGCTAAATGATATTCCATTGTATAGATATACTATATTTTTGTTTATCCATTTACCAGTTGATGAACATATGGGTTGTTTACACTTTTGAGCTATTATGAATAACGATGTTATAGACATTCATGTACCAATATTGGTGGACATATGTTTTCATATCTCTTAGGTATATAACTAAGAGGGGAAATGCTGGGTCACAGGCTAACTTTATATTTAGCACATTGAGGAAATGCCAGACTATTTTGCAAAGAGGCCATACCATTTTACATTCACATCAGTAGTGTAGGACGGTTGGTCCCAATTTTTCCACATCCTTGCTAACGCTTGTTAATATCTGCCTTTTTCATTTTAACCATTCTAGTGGGTATCAAGTGGTATTTCATGATGGTTTTAACTTGCATTTCCCTGATGGCTGATGATGTTGTGCATCTTTTCATGTGATTATTGGCCATTGGTATATTTTCTTTGGAGAAATGTCTATTCAGATCCTTTGCCCATTTTTTAAAGTTGGGTCTCTTTTAATTGAGTTGTACGTGTTCTTTATATATCTAGATACAAGTTATTTACTAGATATGTGATTTGCAAATATTTTCCCCCATTATGTCAGTTGTCTTTTCACTTTTTTGACCGTGTACTTAAAAAACAAAAGTTTTTAATTTGGTGAAGTCCAATTTATCTACATTTTTCTTTTGTCATCACGTGTCCTTTTGGTGGCTTATCTAATAAGGTTTTGCTAACAAAGTCAAGAAGATTTACTCCTATGTTTCCTTCTAAGAATTTTATACTTTTAACTCTTATATTTAGGTCTATTTGAGTTAATTTTTTAGTTATATCTTAGCTAACTTTGTGTCTTGTGTGAGGAAGTGGCAGGTGGATATTCAGCTGTCCCAGAAATATTTGTTAAAAAGACGATTCTTTCCCCAGTTGAATTGTCTCGACATCCTTGTTGAAAGTCAACTGACTATAAATATGAGGGTTAACTTCTGGATTCTCAATTCTATTCCATTGATCTATATGTCTACCTTTATGCCAGTACCACACTGTCTTGATTCCTGCAGCTTTGTAGTAAGTATTGAAATTGGGAAGTGTGAGTTCTCCAACTTTGCTTTTCTTAAGATTGTTTTGCAAACTGGTTCAGCCACTATGGAAAACGGTATGGAGACTTCTCAAAAAATTAAAAATAGAAATACCATATGATCCAGCTATCCCACTACTGAGTATTTATCCAAAGAACACAAAATCAACAATTCAAAGAGATTTATGCACCTCTATGTTCATCGCAGCATTGTTCACAATGGCCAAGATGTGCAAGCAACCCAAGTGCCCATCAATGGAAGAATGGATAAGGAAGATGTGGTGTATATATATATATGCAATGGAATACTACTGAGCCATAAAAAAAAGACAAACCGTGCCGTTTGCGACAATACAGACAGAACTTGAGGGTATTATGCTAAGCAAAATAAGCCAGACAGAGAAAGACAAAACACTGTATGATTTCACTCATATGTGGAAGACAAACAAACACATGGATAAAGAGAACAGATTTGTGGTCACCAGAGGGGAAGAGGATGGGGAGGGCAAAAGGGGTAAAGGGGCAAATACATATGGTGACTGATAAAATCTAGACTATCAGTGGTGAACACGATGCAAATCTATATAGAAACTGATATATAATAATGTACACCTGAAATCTACACAATGTTATAAACCAATATGACCTCAATAAAATAGTTTAAAAAAAAAAGATTGTTTTGGCTGAGTAACTTTAAACCCGTTCTCTTATCAACTTAAGATTTCCGGTGTAGAGGGAAATTAAAAATAAAAACTTCCTTCAAATGGAAATTTGCTAATGGATTATAATTAAGCACTGATTTTTAAAACAGACACAGAAAGAGAGAAAGGAAAGAAATTTGGAAGGAACATACTCTATTATGTGCAAGTGAGGGTTCAAATGAAAGTGTTAGCATTAGGAATTGCAAAAACAGAGAGAAGTCAAGATGGCGGCGTAGGCAGACTCTAACTCACCTCCTCCTGTGGACACAGCCAATTTACAGCTACTTGTGGAAAAATTATCCCTGAGACAGAACTGAAAACTGGATAAGAGGAACTCGTGCAACAGCGGACAACCCTAACTGAGGTGGAAGAGGCAGAAACTCCCTTCTGGAGAGAAAAAACGCTGCCTTCACAAGCCGCCAGCCTCACGGCCACTGGGAGCAGCCCACAGGTCTGCAGACCTCCCTGGAGGTGCGGGGCCCTGAGCCGGGAAGCGCCCCCGCTGTGGGCATTTTGTGGACCCAGCACCACCGAGGTGAGTGGCATAATATCTGACTTTGCTAGCTACTAAAGCATTGGGGAGTACCCCCAGAAAAGCTGATTCACAAAGAAATTAAAACTGGCTCTTAAAGGGCCCACAGGCAAACTCACCCATTTCAGAAAGCATCCTAAAATCACCAGAAAGAAAGGTGCA